TCGAAATTTTAGACGACGTCCAAAATATCCTCGCCGCGGGACCTCCCATGCCATGCGCCAGCGCGGCACCAACTGAAGGTCATTCTCGTATTGTAGTTTTATGCACAATCGAACGAGATGACATTCATATCAATCGTTTTAATCAGTCAAAAAGATACAATGTCGAAACGGATCACCCTACGAACGTTACATCTTTTCTGTCCTGGTACCTAATGGCGGGTCTGATTTTGGAGGCATTTGTTACGTAATGCGGGCAAAGACTCCGGTTAGAGATGTCACAACATTCACGTAAAAAATGCGACTCGCGCGAGGACAATGAGCATAAAGTTTTATTGCTCAATGCCCTTGCGTTTATTGCATTTTTTTAGATCTTGTCATACTCTGAGCTTCGCCATCGAATGGGATCCTTCTGTTGGTCGACTTGATTCTCAGTCTACATTCTGCAAGAAAGTCAACCAGGACCAGGCGGAGTTTTGCGGTAGCGCACCAGTCAGCTACCTGTGTTTGGAAATTTGTGTTTGTCCTTTTTCCACCTTACTCATTTTTTCCATGGATATTATCGTGATTCTTGTACAGCTCGCTTGCACCTTTGCCTTAATTGCATTATCATCAACTTTTTTTATTAGCGGTTTTACTTTGCTTTTGAACATAAATTCCAGTGCCTTTCGAACTTTAGAAAAGCGTGTAAATATTTTCGGATGGCCTTAAAATGGAGTGCAATTATCTTGGAAGCCAATCTCAAGCAAAGCAGTCTAATTCTTGGTATAGATTGTGAAATAGTCAACAATTCTTCAACAATGACGCCATTAGGCGTGTTCGCGCTCAACGTTTTGCCAGCCGAGAAAGTACGAGCGGCAGCTGGTAATAACATATTGCCGTACACCAGCACATATAACGGCTACAGCTACACGTGACTACTATCGCATGCTAATGACCTAAGTAATCGTTTTGAAGAACCTTAAAAGAACACACAAAACACGAAAACTGACGACAGAGCTTCCGACTCAACTAACCGTTTGAAGCTTATTTACAAACTTTTGGGAAACAATAACATTTATAATTTTGCGAAACAGTTTCAATTAATCTAAAAGATCTGCTAAAAACACTCTGTTCTTGAATGAACAAGAAGTAACCAACACGAAACTGCATTTCGCAAACCACTATAAATAGTATCGTGGCCTTCACGGTTTGGTAAAAAGTTACGCTATCACCCAACATCACCCAACATACGCTCTAAAAAATTGCCCTTATCCCGATATGACGATCTTGGTTCAAATATAATTACGATTGCTATTTAAAGCATTCCAAAAAATTAAGGCAGAAAAAAAGTGATGATATACGTTGAAAATGAAAACATTTAAGGTAATGTATTACTACTTTTTTAAATATTTTCTTAAATAATTTGACGCAGCTGTGGTTGCATCTTATTGCAGAACGATTATCATAACACACGTGTTCAATTTACATCAAGTGTACATTTTTGGTGAATATTAAAATCGATTGTAATCGCGCATGCTGATCGAATCAGAAACGCTGCATGATTTCATTTCATTTCATTTCATTTACCTCAAGGGCGTCTATTGAGGACGCATTACGTGAGGGGGGTGGCAATAAATGGGAATACAATATAAAAAAGAACGTAAAAACACTAACACAACCACATCTCGTCTAACAACAAAGAAAACAAGATATATATACACAAACAGATATTCCCTACTCATTGAACAAAAGCACGCACATTTCTTGAAACGCCGTAATTTCTAAGTTGGTTACAAAATGATCTGGCAAGTTATTCCGTTCTGTAATACACAATATTAAGGGAGAAAACATGAATGAGTTATTATGGGAGCGGTATTGAAGGAGTTTACATCTGTTGTCGTCTCGAGAAGAAATAGAATGGGCTTTTTGACAATCAATATTTCTGAACTGTGAATTACTATGGTAAACTTGATAGAAGAAACACATGCGGTGAATTTTGCGTCGTGTGGCTAATGAAGCGAGACCAAGTATTGATTTTAAGGCAGAGACACTACTTTCTGGAGAATAATTGTTTAGAATGAACCGGGTGGCTTTGTTTTAATTGATGTTAATTAATGCCCTCCTAATTACGAAGTTAACAATTGCAAGATTGACAAACGTTGCTATAGAAGTGTCCACTTTTTGCGAGAAATAACGTGTATGCGCCTTAAAATAAAACTGAGGCATCTTTTGTACAGAAACATTTAAAATGAAATGCAAGCTGAAAAAGTTTTGAAGAAGTCTGAGTTAGGAACGGATTTATATAGCTTTTTGTCCGTGAACTGATTTATCGCACTTAACTTGGGCAAAAGTAAATGTACGCCGCTTTTTCATGGAAAAACACGCGCAATAATTGCTGCAGGGCATGCAGTGAGCATCTCTGCCGCCTGTTATCTTTACAAAGCGCTGTGATGTCATCGTCGGCATCCCTTAGCCAGCTTATGGCTGATCCACACGACGGACCGAATCGCGATTTTCGCCCGCGGTAAGTGTACTACGTGACCGTCACCTCACTGATTCCTGCAATCCACCCCTCGTCCGCGGACGCGAGTTGTTAAATGGCAGACAGCCTTTTCACTCGCGGGGTTTTGGCGGGTGACCGACTTAAAAAGCGCTTAGTCTAGCAACGGTACATCGTTTCATTTGTTTTTTGTTTCTTATTTTTGAATAATTCAAACAAAGTTGGTGCACTCTTCTGTTTTGTGCCTTCATTGGTTCATTTTGTCTTGCAGTTCTTGGTTCCACGCGTGGACGAAGCTGCAGAAACTTTACCCGACTGACGCGACGCAGATTCCGGTACTCCTCCAGGTCCATGCCAAGAAGCTTCCGTCAAAATTCGTCTAGCACGCCGCGGTCTTTTTTGCACGTCCAATCAACGTCTTTCACCCCGCGAGGCCTTTCTCATGACTGTGTGCACGAGCGCGGAGTTCGTGAAAACATCTTTAAACGCCCCTCGGTGAGCCCAGGATTCGTCGCCTATACGCCGAAGCCCCCTCAAGCAGGACCATGTCTGTGTCACTGTAGTGCCTTGGGTTAGTAAAGCTAATGGCGCTTCGCGCTAAGCCTATCACAGTGTTCTGTTCTGCTCTGCACGTAACAGTGGCGAGCGGTTCTTTATCGCGACAGCAAACCTCGATTTCGCTTTTGGGCAACTGTGCCAAAGTGCGATGTATGAGTACCGCGGCACTAAGGCCGTGAACAGGTTCACTCGGTCCTTGATGCCGTCTGCTCGTTCCCTCCTTCGTGTCGATGCGCTTATGAGATAGACGAAATGCTGACGTGTCGTTCCGTATCAGTACGCCCGCGGATATGCCGTCGTGTGAATTGGCCATTAGTGGCGAGCAAGGGTCATCTGACCCCGCCGGTGTCTTCACTTTTGCTAGATTTTCTCTCCGCTCTCGCGTTATCTTGCGCCTAGCGCGCCGCAACGAGCAGAGCTACGTCGAAATATTAATTGGCGATTACGACGCTCCTATTATTACGACTAAAATGAAGCTTAAAACCTTTTTTTTTTTTTAAGTTGCCTACATTACAAATTTTACAATATTTGTTTGTTTGTTTTTCGAACTATAAAAGACCTTTTTAGCTGTCCTTTAAGACACTGCTAAAACTAGTTGTGTCTAATGTTCAAATATACTATACATACACTTGAGGGGAGCCTTCTGTAGCCGTTCAGAGGGGACAAGGAGAGTACGCGTACAGCCTTACAGCCGCTCAACCTGGGGAAGGGCATGCGTTTTTGTGCCTTTGACTGTATAGCTACAAAAAGTTGTCATCGAGTATCAGAGTAAGCGACTTATTGTTCAGATCTGTCGCCTTTTTCAAGCTGTTGTGCTCTATTTATTCCTAAATTTGGCAGTAATTCATTCAAAGAATGATGGTAATGACCTTTTATATATACTGTTTGGTAAGGCGACACATGTAACGCAAAACACTTGTAGATTGATTACATCCCTAATTGTTTTTTATATCCTCAGGTGGAAACGTTAGACTCATTCCCAATAATAAACTTTGATGGAAATCGCATAAAAAAAGTTCTTCCACGCTATCTTTTTTTTTTAAATCTTTGTAGGCGTTACAGGACAACAATTGAAGGGGCATATATTGCGCGTTGCGCTTGCCATAAAAACAAACGAACTTATTTTGTATTTGTGTACTCAAATTTTGGTCGTCTGGAAAGCTTTCCTGAAAAGTACGAAACAATTGAGCATGTTTGATTTTCATCTGTTTATTGGCTCCTATCTTGACACATATTCCAGTTTTAAGAAAGAAAGCTTTATTTGATGAATTTTCCGCCTACAAGTCAGTTTCACTTATTTTTTAAACTTTTATGAGTTATGCATTTAAATATTTACGTTCCATAAAAATATGTGTCGTCATTAGCTGTGGAATTTTAGGGCTCTTATTTCGTAATCTCACTAGCAATTTGAAGCAAAATGTAAGATGATAAATTGGAACAAATAACTCCAATATTGAGTTGTTTGTATAGGGCGCAAATATGCGTTTAGCACTAGAAACATTCCACATAGTACAATTAAATGTTTTATTGTTGTGGTACCTAAAAAAATAATACACAAACGTTTCGAAAGGGTTCGTAAATTTGGTTTAACATGATATACTGTAAACGACTAAATTTTCGCGAGGACCTAATTTTCGCGAATTTCGCGAATCGCCTACAATTCGCGAAAAATACGTCCCGCAAACCATTCGGGCAACATGCGAACGCGACAGAAGCTACACTCGATTCGCGAAAATTATAACCCGCGAATAATTTCAAATTTTCAGCTTTTGCCCTATTCGCGAAAATTTGAGCTAAAATTAAGTCGTTTACAGTATATAGAAACTCTGGTTGACCGTTATAATACTGAATATTTTAGCCAGCTCCGAAAATTGAAGACAATGGCACCTAATAGGTACGCTTCGGAAATTAAGCAAGGAAGATGTTCGTAGAAATCATAAAAGTAACATAGTTTTATTCTTACTATTCACTCTGAAGAGTCAACTTGTAACGAAAGATGGCTTCTACCCTACCAAATTGGACACTTGTAAAAAGCAGCGACACACAATATCTTGCTTGTGGTATCATTCTATCATCAAGGACAGAGCGATATCTCATGGAGTACCGCTTTGGTATCAAAATCTCCTGGAAAGGGGAAAATAAAGTTGCTGGTTAATAACTTATTATGAATCTGCGAGCGCCTACATTTATCAACAAAAATATTCCCCAGTGTGAGTGCATACAGCCACTAAATGAGCTACGCTTAGACTATCGGCACTCCGTTCCCCGATCTGCTAGTGTGCGCCACCATCTTGGTGCCTGGTGCAGAGAAGACGCAACTGTCGAGCGCCACAGCTAAAAAATGTGACTTACTCAGCTTTAAATACGCTGTTAGGAATCTCAGGTGATATTGATTTGCTCTGTCCCGAACTGTTTTAACGTTGGGAAAGTGCTTCCTGCGTTTTCAGATAAAGCTTAGGATAACTGGCAATTATGAGTTTAAGCCCCAAGACGGTTGAAGTGTCTTTACTCTGAAGCGTAGCTTATTTACGGCTTCAGTGCGTACGGATATCACACGAGTATCTGCAGGGCTTTCACATGTGGCGCAATTTTAATTTAGGAAAAAAGAAAAACGCTTTTATAACACTTAATAATTTGTGCTCTTTTGACAATGGTTTTGGTTAGAGCCAACAGATTTCACCGCTTCGCAATTGGAAAATATTAGCAACGTATTAACATGTTGCCAATTCTCGTATGCAGTGCGTCCTAATGCGCTACATACACAAGCAATTTTTCCCAAAAATATTACGTGTATAATTTTTTTTGCCACATCCGACAAAGAATGACCTTAGGAAAAAAGTTAGATATCCTTATTACAGGTTTAAAATGTTAGCCCTAAAGGTAACACGCGTAATGCTACTGAACATGTGCTGCTTGTCTAAGAAAAAGGGACTGCAGTGCACGCTTCCCGCTGTCAGTCACAAACGGATAGTAAGAACGTTAGTAACAGCTACAAAGCGCGAGCTATTCCGCGCTCCTGGCTTTGAGACGTGCATTTTTAGCGCGAGTCCTCGTTCTGTGGGAGAACGGGAGAACGATTCAAGGAAGCGACCTTGAGCTTTCGTGCTTGTGGCATTGACTGTAGTTTCAGGTTAAAGGGATTGCCCGGTAATAATGTCATCTTTCAGAAAACAACTTATGATATCATTGTTTTTAAGAATTAAATGCCGCACAAAATCTGAATTTTGCATCTTTCGCCGCACAAGTAATTTATCTTAGACGGAGTCCAACTGCTCAGATTTCACCTGCAAAATACACAACGTTTTTGTTCGCAACAGCGGACGGGATGACGGAACATCAGGCAAAAAAAGCCACCTCAGCTTTTGACTACGGGTGCGTCATTTCAGCACCAATTTGATGTCCAGGAGGCGTGGCCAATAACGGCACGGATATCAAAATAATTTTACAGTTTCTTTGACGTGAACACGTTTTATTTTGGACGCCGCCGACCACACAACCGTCGGTCGGCGGTTGTGTGGTTGGGTGCTCGGCGGCTCGGCGGTGTCCGCGCTGGTGTGTGGTGTCGACTTGTCGCCTCCACTCGTCGCGTTCTGTTGCGCATGAATTGCCGACATCCATACATCAAGGTAATCGTTTTCAAATTTCGTCCTCTGATGCCGACCGTGACTCTTGTTGCAAATGAAAATTACGTGTACCGAAGGCGACAGAGCCCAGCCGCAGTAATTTTGTACGCATTTTTCTGGAGCTGTACCTGTGTGCATTACGACGGATTATTACCCTTGCATAGAATAGCTGCGGAGGCCGTGTAAGCGGCGAGCGGGTAGACTTGGCTGACATGACTGGAGCACCCGCAGCAGGAGCGCTGGAGCCGCCTCTTCCGAAGTAACTATAGCTCGCGCTGTTAGCACACGCGGTTTAGTGAATTCAACCGCCAATTTTCCTTTTGTTGCTCACGTGTTGCGCGTTGCCTTGCGTCTTTGCGTCTGGTAGTGCTCTCATCGACCCCTGATGGCTTCTTTTTTATCTGCACTCACTGCAGAAAGCAACTTCAGATGCGAGGCCTTCCAAAGGATGAAACCTGTTAAAACGGATGTTCCCGGGCGAGTTGGTTTTTCATGACTGACAAGGAAACAGCGCACCCTCAACACAAGCACTCTAAAGCTTTCATGCACACAAAAGAAAGAGCCACTTACACAGCGCTGACTGACAACTCTATACCCGTTTTCACCTCAAGAAAAAAGCAAGTTTTGCGCATTGTTCATACGCGGCCCGAAGTAGTTCTTACGAGATTTGGTTGTCGGAGGAAAATTAGATACTTTTGGTGTATGGAATGTGTACGCCATGATAGGATAACATATATCTTATCTAAAATTCACCTACATATGTCTTAATTATCGACGTAAAGGGGGAAATTAGTAACGCTCCGCGTGGAGCCGGACTTTTTTTACTACGGTTCTTGAGGTGAAAAAGGGTATAGGTTATATTTACAATTTTCGTTTTCGTCTTTCTTTGTGAACTAGGGTTTCTATGGCAAAAAATTGCTTTTTCATCTTCCTTCGTCTTCCTGTGTTTTTGTAATAGGAAGCTAAACCATAAAATTATTGTACGGCTAAGTACTCTAGTTCTTTTTTGGATAACATTATGAAAGGAGTGCTGACACATCTCTCCTCTTGTCTGGCAATGTTCTCTGCTTACATGATTTCTCTTGTTATCTTGTCGTCGTTCCTGCCTAACACTGTGCATTTCTTCAGCTGCGCTGAGCAGCCACAGTCTCGTCAGTGAATTCCCAGGTGTCCGGAGTTTTTGTCCGGACACCTGTGCGGACAAAAACTCTGGTCCGCTTCGGTCTGTCCTATGTATTGTCGTCTACAGGATAGAGGGAAGGAGTAGACCACCTTTTTGGTGCACTGTACGAAGTTGTTTTTATGTTTCTTCGTGCACCTGACTGTGGTTCTTGTGGGTGTATTTACTCTCTTGCAGAGGCTATGAAGTTTGTAAGGGGCTGAGAAGACGATTTCCAGGTTAACTTTATTAGCTATTTCCTTTAGACCGTGGGAAACGTTTTGAATATATAGCACAATGATCGTTTTTTTGGCCCTGTCTTTTTTTTTTTTGTTTAATGTGGTCCCCTTGCTTGATGTCTTTGATGAGCCTTTCGTCCACTGATGTTAGTAAGGAGGTTGGATATTCTGCGCATTTTGATCGAGAGACTTGCCCGTTGAAGCTTGCTTGTATGGAATTGCAGCATGACTTTGTAATTGCGTTTTTGAGACTTAACCGCGCAATGCTCCGCTTAACAAGTTTCGAGCGCGCCGAGTTGAAAGGTAGAAGCGGCTTTTTCCCCCTGGGCTCATAGGACCAGCAGACATGATAAGGTAAAATAAAAAGTCGCAGATACAGGAATCTTAACGAGTGTTCAACTGGAAGGTCGGGCGTAATGTCTAAAGAATTCATGAAGCCTTTAAAGCTGTCTAGAACTTCGGCAACCATGGTTTGTAAAGTCGTGACCATCGGTTTCTAGCACGATTAAATAATCGTCAACATACCGGCAGACTTGGTTAATTTTGGAGGTATCCAAGTTGTGCTGTAACTGCCTGTCGTGGTGGGCAAGATAGAGGTTGCTAAGGATAGGGGCAATGCGTGATCCTGTGCAGACTCCCTGGTTTTGCAGGTATGTGTGACTATCCCAAGTAGCGAACGTGGATTTGAGATAGATGTTAATCAAGTTCAAAAATTTTCCTTAGGATATGCCTGATGCATTTTGGAATACAATAGTGCCATAGGTGTTTATGCTCTCCTCAATGCACTTTAGAAGACGGTCGTGGGGCAGGGCATAGTATAGGTCCTTAATATCGATGGAGAACACTTGTAGATTTTTCCGGCCCTCATGCTCATGGAAGAAGGTGAAGACGTCAAGACAACTTCTAATCAGGTACGGATCGTCAACGGTGAGCATATTCAGCCTTTCTTGTAAATATAAGGATAGGCTTTTGCCACGTTCCCCTTTCAGAAATGATAACTCGAAGGGGGCAGTCTGTTTTGTGAGTTTTTGCGCTGAAGAATTATTCAGGGCTCAACTTTTACTGCGATCAATATAGGAGCAGAGCTGTTTTAAATCTTGAGATTGGCAAAACTGTTTTGCTTCCCTTGCCACTTTTTCCAGAGATCTCTCGTTGCCGCTGCAGAAAATAAATTCGATTGCTGGTAACGCCTTTTCTCAAAATGTGTTCTCCTGCATAAGGACAAAGCCTCCTTCCTTGTCGGTGGGCATAAGATATAGTCAGTGTTCTCTTAGGTATGTTTCTACCTTCTTGATGGGTAAAGGAGCAACTGATGGCTTTTTCCGAAGAATATGTCCAGCCCTTAAGAGGTGCACCGATCAATCTCGGTCTCTGGCACTCGTCTTGACACTTGCTTGACGATGGAAAGTAGCTCTGTTTTCGTCATTTTAGGTTCCACCGCGAGCTTTGGGCCTAGACTGAGAACATGCTGGACAGAGACTTGTGCACAAAGAAAGACGAAATCGAAAATTGTAAATATAACCTAGAGTTGTCAGTCAGCGCTGTGTAAGTGGATCTTTCTTTTGTGTGCATGAAAACTTTAGAGTGCTTGTGTTGAGGGTGCGCTGTTTCCTTGTTGGTCCAAAGGAAACGAACGACACCTGAGCAATAAAAGGAAAGTCGGTTGCTGAATTCAGTGAATTCAGGTGTGCTAAAATCGCGGGCTAGTTGCATTAAATGGACCTTTTGTAGAAATACGCGGTGCGCATGCGCGGAGTATTTGATGCGCTTGGGTTCGAGAGTATCTAGTTCTAAACAATCCGCCATCTTGCTATTCTCGCCTTTGCGCGCCTAGGAGACCATCAAGACTCAAGTTTTGATGTTGCGAACAAGGTGAACACGAGTCATCGTACTTCCGACGCCCGTTCTAGATTACGACGTGCACCGTAATCATGCCGGTGAAATGTGTAGCCTTCGGCTGTCGGAACTATTATCGCCGGGGTTGTGGAACTAGCTTTTTTCGCTTCCCGTGTGCTAAGCTTCATCCCGTTAAGCAGGCAGCGGATTCGTGCCGTCAGGAGGGTTGACAAGTCCGACCCCTCGAAGAACTGGAAGCCGAGTCAG